GATTGTTTAGAATCCAGAGCAACATATGGCAAATAAGCTCTGCAAATAATTTTGGGACATTTTAAATAATTTTCCCTCAACTTTTCAAATTTTAATTTACTACAAACTCACCTATAACCCTCTTTTTTATTATTATTATTACAATATGTCAATAAGAGAGCTGTGTAGTCACTTCTTGCTTTTCACTCACACTGTATTTGACTACTTCATACTTTTCATCTAGCGAGCTTTTCATATAGCTAACTACAACTCTTCAGTTAGTCTGGCCCAGGGCAACTGTGGCTACAGACGTCTTCCGCCACCTAAGTGTTTGTCTGTCATAAGATGAACACGTTATAGGGGAATTTGGAATGAACACTGTGTAATAACATGGAAGCTCTTAGCAAGTTAACACGTGCATTTATTCAATTATCATATGAATGTTTTGCAGTTTAAAATCTAGTAATTGTCTTATTGTCTTGTGAATGTTGATTTGCTGAAACACTTGGGGTCGGATCTGATCCATTCTAAAGCCTGTGAAAGCTTCTGCCAACAGTGAGCTAACTCCAAACACTTCCAACTCAGCTTCCAACTGTGTTTTCAGGAATTCACTGGAAACAAGTGAACATGTCATAAAAACAGACACGACAGAGTAGAATAGAGCAGGACCAAACTTTAACTTTACAATTTTAAATTAGTTTTTTAGTTCATGCCTGACGTGATCAATATTCCCTGGGGGTGTGATGCAAACTGTAAACTCTGCTCTTTCTGAAGCTCTGGTCCTCAAGTTGCACTTTCATACATGGTTTTCAATTTCAAATTAAAGTAGAGCGTAAATACATTGACAGTATTGTTAACAATTACAGTTCTTATCTCTATTTGTATGTCTCTATGTAACCATACCAACTGTAATTTTATTCTGTACGATAAACTTTGTGCCTATGTTAACATTATTATTAGTTAGTATGACCATACAAAAATATGTTTCTGTATGTGTGTATATGTGTGTAATGCATATGTGTATAAATGTTTTTATTGAATATATGTACTGGATATCTATGATGTATGTATGTATGTATGTATGTATGTATGTACAAAAAATTCATAATATTTAGGCTTTTTTTTTTTTTTTTTTTCGCAAAAAAGAATTAAATGATGGAATAGGGAGATAGCAGGAAGATGTGTAGAAATTAAAAGATATAATTTAGTAGTCTTCATGGTATTACATATTTTGAACATATATGTATGTATGTATGTATGTATAATAACAAAAAAAACTATATAAGATCATGTACATTTTCCTGACTGTGATAAAGACGCAGCCAATCACGCCTCCAGCTAACAGTATAACAGAGGCTTATATCATTTCCATAGTAATACACAATTTTATATTTAATACTACTACCTGCCTGCCCTGTGGGATCTATCAAAAACCCCATCTGGAAGCTAGTGGCTCCTAAAGCTCCCTCTATTACACGCCAATGGGGCAGGTGTAATACAGTATAAAGGTGTAAAATGCAGCGGGGGCAGTGTAGTGTGGATAATGAGGAACAGGTGAAGATCGATGCGTTCAAAGTCAGACTGAAGGATAGGAAAGCTCAGCACTAATGTTTCCGCTGCAGCACCTTTCACACTCGCTGCTTTCACACTGTTAGCACATCGGATTTGGACTACAGGGGAGCCGCTGGACATAAAACAGGCTCAGAGGGAGGCTTCAGTCTCCAGGGTGAACTTTGTTGACTTTAAAGCGGCCGTGTTCTGCTGAATGGACTTATTTGAACTTTTTATAACTATGTTCTCTCACAAAACACATACTCAAATTTGTCTTTTGTTTCATTCAAGGATTCAAAATGACCTAAAATGCTCCACCAGACCCTTTATTATTATTTTGTCTACATCTCTAAAGCTTAAAATGTTCTCTTCCATCTTGTGATATCATCATGAAGCATTAGTTTTCAAGTTAACAGCTACATTTTACCTGAAACTGAATAGAGATTGCTGGAACTAATCCAAATAATTGTTTTCAGTTTGAGAGAATAACTAAATATGTAGGTTTTGTGTGTTAAATGTGTGTGATTGAAACAAAACACAACTCAAGGTCTGTTTTTGATGAGGAAACAGCATTATAACATACATACTAGATTGACTTCAGCTGTATAATGTAAAGAAATTGCATAACATTTGTGGATATTATCCTTCAGAAGCTTATATCATGATTTCATTGCTATCACCATTAACATTTTATCAATTCATTTTAGTATCATTACTGTAAACGTACTCACATTTAATAAATATGGAGTAAGAGTGTTTTAACAGTGACATTTTCCACTCTCTCTTAGACGTAATACTTATCTCTGTGAAGGCTGGGTTCTCATCTGAAGTAAAGAAGTGGAGTTTGATCATCTCAGCTCTGTCATGTCAAGTGTCTAAACGTACTTACCAGTAGTAGGCCCATCAACATCCTCTTGAGTAGAAACGATTATGGAGATGGAATTTCCTTTGATGTCTCATTCAGTATGCAAAAAATACATGTTACACTTTTAATGAACAGGTTTGCTCTTAACATGATCACATGACAAGTAAAATAGTAAAAAGTTTAAAGGGCCCACATTACATTTCTATATCTATGTTATAATGTTGTTTCCTTATCAAAAACATACCTGGAGTTGTGTTTTGTTTCATTCACACATGTTTTACCCAAATTTCCTACATATTTAGTCCACTCTGTTCCACCTTGTGATGTCATTATACAGGAAGTGCTTCACTGTCCAATGAGGTTAATTTGGTCTTCCGATAATTTATGTTATTAAGTTCTTTAAGACAGTTTCGACTGCTCCGCCGGTAGGAAGACAGCGCCAAAACCTGTATAAATCACCTGACTCAACACATCACAGCAACATCACGTGACCACTCTGAGAAAAACCACTAGTAACAGTTGAAATTGTCAGGTATGAAAACAAACCCTTGGTCTGAAAAAAGAATCTAATAGCATAGTTCTTCACCTTCACTTTTATTTATTTTATTTATTTTAATTTTTTTCTCAGCCCTGTAATGTCTTATCTCTGCTGAATAAAAATTAAAAGGTGTAGCTGTTGAAAACTACTGCTTCATGACATCACAAGGTGGAACAGAGCATTTTGAGCTTTGGAAATGTAGATATACATAATTATAAAGGGTTACTCAAACAAAACACAATGAATGAAACATAACACGACAACTCCAGATGTTTTTGAAGAGGTAACAAAGTTATAACATGGCTTAAAACTCATAAAAGTAAATTTTGCAGAATATAGACCTTTAAGTTTTAAGCGTGAGATATGAATACAAAGGTGTTCAGAAGTATTAAAAAGCTTAAAGTGTATTTATTATGAGTCATTTGAGGTTGGTTGGGATTGAGCAGTGCAGCCCAGAGCTCCATGTGTCTTTCCGGCACAGCTGCTATACGTATATTTAACTTAGCCCCCAGTACCAGAGAAATACTGAGCCAAATATACAACTCAGTGATGAATTAAAGCTTTCCTTCAACACCTAAAGGTGCACTATGGAAAGGAGAGATATGAATTGTTTTAATATTGGCAAATGGTCAATTTTTGTCAATACTGCTCCTTAGTTTTGTACTGTGAAAGAATTTTAAAGGTCCTATAATATGCAATTTTTTGCGGTTTCGTCATCAAAAACATATCTGGAGTTGTGTTTTGTTTCATTCACATGTTTAACATACAAATCCTGCAAATTTAGTTAGTTTAGAGTTTCTTTCTCAAACTGAAAACACCATGTTCCACCTTGTGATGTCATGTGGTAATACAGGAAGTGCTCCACTGTGTTTTTAAATGTCATACACCTTCACGAAAATCATTTGAACAATTTCAGCTCTGGAATTGCCAGTCTCTACTGAACAAAAGGTAAAAGATAGAAGCTAATTTGAAAACTACCACTACATGACATCACAAGGTGGAACAAAGTAGACTAATAATAACGTGTGTGAATGAAACAAAACACAACTCCAGGTATGTTTTTAATGACGAAACTGCAGACAATAGGGAGGGCGATGAGGTAACTACATTCTAACATGACCAATAGAGTTAATTTTGCATAATATAGGACCTTTAATGTTTTTATCTAATATGTAGGTTAAGTTCTGCGATGAGGTTGAAACACTAACTACTCTGCCACTGTGCCATCTTTTTCTGTCGGTCTATCGAAAGCTACGGCCTTACCCTAATTAGCCATAACCCTGGAGTCATTATCAAGTGAAGTGGATCAGTATTTTTGACCCTATGGGCTGAACTTCTAGTAAGGACACGGCGCCCATCTCGAATCTCTCTGATCCCTCTGCCTAGTTTAAAGTGGACTCTTATCTCCACCCCAGGGTCATAGCTCAGTTCTCTTCTGTAGCCCTCTTCAGTCTCAACCAACCTCCCATCCCTCCTTCTCTCTCTGTCTCTCGCTCTCTATCTGTTCTTTATTAAGTCCTTATCTGCCTTCAAGAGTCCTTTTGTTCAGCTTCAGTTTTATCTCTAAAGCAGCACTCATCTGCTGCTCCCTGTTAGCTCCTCTGTGTCACTTAAAAGTCTTAATTGAATCTGTCATCAGACTAAGTGATTCCTTGCATGCTTTTGTGAAACTAGACAATGATGCAATATTTATCTTATAAAAATTGCAATTGTTTCTATATATTCATTGCACAGGTATTTTAAGTAGAAATATTAACAGTAGTATTATTTTTTTTAGACTCAATGTCAACTTGAAAAGTATTTATTATGTGTTTTTCCATCAGTATTGCACTGTTACTTTGGGAGGTTAAATGCTTTTCACTGCTGCTCTCTTGTGGTAGTAATTTTGTAGTGCAAGTCATTTTAGTCTTGATTACTGAGAGAGGAATACTATGGTAATGGTGCCATCAAGTGGCTGTTTGATCTTACTATAGCTGTTGAGATTTTCTTCGTGCTGAAAAAAACAAAAACAAAAAAAACCCCACACACATATATCACTTAAATCCAAAATAACAACAGGACACATGGCTTTATTGAAAACTCCTTTATCTCTTTTTTACATTTTGAGCTTTGCTTTTTAGACATGTTTTACTTTGTCTTCCTTTTACACCTCACACATTTTAACTGTGAAAAACAGTTGCTCCATTGTCTGTCCTCAGTGACCTCCATTCAGTGCCATTGGGACAAACTGCTTTTACTTATAAAACCTTCACAAAAACTGCAAAGGATTCAACACACAGAGTCTACAATGGGACATTTCCTAGTTTTAACTAGTGCTCTTGTTGTTCCTCTTCTTTTTCTTCTTTGGTGCTTGCTTCTTGGAGGATTCACTTGAGTTTTCGGACGCTGGTTTTGAAGCTGTTTCTGCTTGCGGTTTCACTGTAGCTTCAACTGTGGCCTCAACTTTGACCTCTGCAACTTTGACCTCTTCAACTTTGACCTCTGCAACTTTGACCTCTTCAACTTTAACCTCTTTAACTTTGACCTCTTCAACTTTTACTTCTTCAACTTTCAGAAGTTCAGGTTTTGTTTGATCTATGACTTTTTGTGGCTCAATATGTTCTTCTGTAACATGGACTGGAGTAGATTCAACTTTCTCTTCAGTGACGTCTCGTTCAACCTTTGTGTCCTCCTTTGGTTTTTCCATCTGTGTTGTTTCTTGTGGGCATTTCTCATCCTCTTGTTTGGAGTCTTCCACTTTCTCTTCTTTCTTTGTTGTTGATACTTCTACTTCTTCTTTTACAGCATCTTTAACTTCTTCTGAATCCTTTTTGGTCTTAAACTGGGCAAACGCAGACGCAATCCTGTCTTCTTCCCCCAAGTCCAAGTCGAACCACATCTTCCACTATGTCATCATCAAACAAGGATTCTGCAAAAAGCTGAAGCTTGGCCTGCTCCTCTTTGAGTCGTGCCATGTCCTGGGTCAGTACTGGGTCCTGACTTTGCATTTCATCGATATCCTCGTGGGTCAAAATATTTTCTGTTTCAGGGGGAGGAAGGCCGAGCAGTTTGGCTGGGATGTTGGCATTGGCGAGGCGAAGATCTTTGATTTTTTCGTAGAGGATTTTGCGTTCCTCTTGAAGAGTGCGGCACAGTTTCTCCAACTTTTGGATCTTCAAGACAAACAAGTCATATTCTTTGCCCTTTTCTGTTCTCTGTGGTGAAAAGAGTAGATGAGAAACATTAATATATTTGAGTGCCATATTTAAGCACAGTGAGAGTTAAAGGTATACTGCGTAACTTTTCAGGTGACATCAATTTATCTATATCAGTGGAAGCAAATAGCGGCACCACCAGGCCAAGTTACAGGCCAGATCAGTGGAAAGGCAAGTTTGTTTACAATAAGGATAATTGTAATTGAACAAATGAAAGCTAGATGAGTTCAATGGCATTCTATGGAAAATTACAGGCAAGCCATAACACAAGAAAAGTTACATAATGCACCTTTAAGTACTTGTAATTACTGGTGGTCACAAGAAAGATAAAACAACAAAAAACATCTTGTCACAGTTTGAATTCATGAGGATTCCTATACACTTTATGTATGCTTTATATTGCCTTTAGGAAATAATTATTGAATTTTCTGTTTTGAGTTCAACCCTCAAGGCCATGGGTTAAATCCACCTGTCACTCACAAAGGGCATGATAGGACAAACCGATAAGAGGAGGAATAAAAGTATATGGCGTGTGTTTGAGTTAAAACTGCAATCAATGAAAAAGCACTTGACATAACTATCTCTCGAGCCCAGACTGTCACATTGTTACAAATCTATTTTATACCGTCTTATCCTCCACCCCTACTTTCATTGACTTGTTTGTTTCCTACCTCCTCGAGCATGTCTGTCAGGGCCTTGTTGCAATTCTCAAATCTGGTCTTCCACAGGGTGGATTCTTTCTCCATTTTCTTCATCTTCTCAGACATCTACAGTACAAAAAACACATTACAGTTTTCATAGCATTTTGTCAGGTAATGATGGATCAGTTTAATATAGTGCTTATTTGGACACTAATACTGAAGCTACTGTCACCTTTTTTGTCCAATCAGATTTGCTGTTTCTAAGCCAAACAAGTCAAAGCGTTAACACACGTGTCGAGCTCATCAAGTGACCCCTGTGTCGAGCTGTGTCACTGTGTGTATCGTGTTAAGAAAAGCCATGTGACCGATACATCTAGTGTATCTTTTGGTGTTGCTTGTGTTGGGAGTGCTGAAGGAGCTCATGTAGAGTGAAGCGTGCGAGGTTCAAATGTGTCGCTGTGTCTTGGGTCATCACCACAGAGTCACAGAAAAACATAAGACTGGCCTGTTCTGTGTGGGCACATTTTAATCTGTCCCAAGTGGAGCTCACTACAGATTTACTGAAAGAACGATATTATTTTACTATAATTTTCTGAACCATCAGTGTAGGAGTTAGCAATCTGGGGGCCCTAGGCGAACTTGAGTTTGGGGCCCTCACTATAATGCACCGTTTTTCTGTTTTGTTTTGTTTTTTTAATCTATTTATTGTCTTTTTTTTCCCCATTGTTCTTGAAACATGCACATATCTATTTATTTGAATTATGATGGATTAGAAACTTGTCTTATTAGTTAGGAAGCCTACTAGAAAACTAGAACTGAAAGTAGTTTTATTTTTTGCAAGTACAATTACATTTTAGTTTACATCTATTACATATGGTCATTATTATTTTTCTTATGATTATTGTTTAAAAGTAAACTACTCTCATGTAATGTCATATTGAAGGAAAATCAAATTGCTCTGAGGCATCAGCCATTAGTGGCACTGAGGGCAGTTTGTTAGGGGCCCCTCCAGGTTTGGGGGCCCTATGCAGCCGCCTCCTTTTGCCTAATGGTAACACTTCTCTGACAACCATTCACCTCGTCTTGTATCACGTATTTGCTTACTTCATTGTACAATAGGCTGTGATTTGCTCATAGAAATATAGTAAATTTATTTTATTAAAGTTGTAATTATAGATCCATGGATTTGCTTTAACGAGACTGCAATACCTTCTTGGCTGGTTGGATATATGATTGCTTCTATGACAAATGTTTGCTTGTCTTAACGTATGAGCCCTGCGCCGTGTCAAAGTTTCTGCATAGATAGCAGTTGTTTTAACCACAAGGTAGAGCTTTAGAATGCACCAACACACTATCAACACACTATCAATACACTATCCACACACTATCAACACACTATCCACACAGTGACAACACAGTATCAGCACAGTATTCAAATGATGTACACATATCTAACAGTCTCATATCTCATTACTAAAACCCAGCTGTCAAACACTATCCCAGACACTTGATTCTCTGTCTTGGTGCAATATCGCAATGACAAAAATGACTAAGTGAGAGGGGCTAAAAGTTCAATCCAAAACATGTCCGCGACTCTAATCAGGTATCAGGCCTTTAATAGGCTCTATTCACGCTTACGTCACAAACTAGGAAGACGTTTGGATGTGTAGTTTCTGTCACTGGACTCACCTACCGACTGTGATAAAACCCACTGAAGTAAATGTGATCAGCGGTAAAATGAAGACTGCGTATGTGTGTGCTGTTTGGAGTCATCTTAAATTTGGCGCCCTCATCTCTTCTAATCGCATGTACCCAGAGCGCTCGGAGTCGTGCGTCAGTGGGGAAATAATGAAAATTGCGGTGTAGTTTTAATTGTTGATTAGCCAACGATAACGAAAGTGGGAGAAAACTGGGACATTTTCTCATTTTTCCCAGATTCTGTCAAACTTACTACAACAGAGCCCGCCGGAAATTATCATTGCATGTTTCCAAACGTCTTCCTGGTTTGTGAGGTAAGTGTGAATAAAGCCTATTCCCCACCCATGTCAAATTTCCTAATACATGCTCTAAAATATTTGTTTATACAACTTTATTTCCTGTATACTCACTGTGTCCATTTCTTTCTTGAAGCGGTGGAAGATTTCATTGCTTTTGGCCAAAGTTCCCTGAAATTCGTCGAACTTCTGAGCGTACAGAGCTAGCTGTGGAGGAACACATTAGCATTAGCATTAGTTAGCATTTAGCCAGAGTCACACTCAGTTCAGAAAACACTTAACTGTCTGAGTGTTGAATTTAAGCAGCGGGGACGTGGCGCCAGCTGCTCCTCAGACAAACCCATGCATTTTAACAGGTTTTACTCAAGAGCTATCTTTTATTCCACTCAATATTTAGCAGAGGTGGTGGAGGAAAAGGCAACTTTAATGGAATATACTAGTAGCAGTAGTCATGAGTGTTATTTGTTAAAGTGTTAAAAGTCCTGTATTACACAAAATTTACTCTTGTGAGCTTTTAGTTACGTTATTATGCATTTACCTCATCAAAAACATCCCATAGTTGTGTTTTGTTTCATTCTTACACGTTTGAGTAACCCTTTATCATTAGTCGGTCTACATCTCCAAAACTCAAAATGCTCTGCTCCACCTTGTGATGTCATGAAGCCGTAGTATTCATGTAAACATCTCCCATTGATCTTCATTTTCAGTATTGGCAGATTCCAGGTCTGAAACGTTCCAAATGACTGCAGTGAAGATGTTTGGCAAGAGGTGGGACCAAGTCATTGGTTTGCAAGTCTCAGGTTTTTGACCTCAAGTCCGAGTCAAGTTCCAAGTCAAAGAAAGGCAAGTCCAAGTTGTCTGCTTTGAGTCATTTCAAGTCTTTAAATCAAAAAAGTACCAAATACGGCTTAGATTTTTGCAATTTATATGACTTTTAAACTAAATTGTACTTAAAAAGTCATAGTATTTTTATATACAAGTATTTATATAAGAGTTGTATAAATGCTAATTTTTCCTTTTTAAATGTCTTGACAAGATCTTAGTGTGAATCATTATGGTCAGAATAGAAAGAAATCAGTTTTAAAAGTGCTAAATAGTTATTTTGTCATGTAGTCTGCACTGAAATGGAAGGATCATGGAAGGATTATGTAGTTCCCTCTGTTTTACTGTATTGGACTGTATATTACTGTACAGTGTATATTACTGTATTGTACTGTGTATTACTGTAGTACATTTGAGGATACCATCTCACAGTACTTCAGTTACATCCAAAGTAATAAACACAGAAGTGCGAGGGACATGTTCCAGTTTGTTCCTGTAAAATTAAGCACCACATTTATCAATATATATATTTTTAGGAGAAGTATCAAGTCTTCTCAAGTCACAGGGCTCAAGTCTGAGTCAAGTCCCCAGTCATTGACCTTCAAGTCCAAGTCAAGTCTCAAGTCCTAAAAATAGTGTCTCAAGTCTGACTCGAGTCCAAATCATGACTTGCAAGTCCCCACCTCTGATGTTTGGAGTTTAAAAACACCACATGACATCACAATGTGGAGCAGAGTGTTTTCCAGGCATGTTTTTTGGTGAGGAAACAACACTGTAACATAGATTAATAATTGAAGATAGCATAATATCGCCCTTTAAGGAAATAGTACAAGATAAACAGGAAACTAAGACAGATTTTGTTAGATAGAACAAAATGGGTTTAATGTTCACTCATAAGCTAAGCAACAAAAACAACATGATCTCTTTCAAAAGCAGATGTAATAGCAACAACTGACCCTTCAAAATAAAAGCGCTACAATTTTCTTGAAGTAGCAGATGGAATGGATGGAAATTCCTCAAATACAGTATGCATATCAGAATTATTAAAATAGTGTGGCCTCATTGATGGAATAATATTTTGGTTATAAAAGCAGGCTAATTCATAGTTTACATTGGAGACAGTACAAGACAGTCTCAAGTGCCTTTTAATAGTCAACATGGCTTGTACAGTACAAGCTCTTCAGATACATTTTACTATTGATACTTTGCAGTGAGTGATATCAGCGGGGGGTGTTCTACATGTATTTTTAATGGCAGAATGTCCAGCAGTTACGATGGTGACATAATACACACATTAGCAAACACTATCTCAAAGGATTAATCTGAAAACTCAAGAAAAAAAATAAAATGTTCTTCCTGTGATGAATATGAGCATTCATGGTCCTGTTTAGGTTTCAACAAAAAGGGAGAGTGACTGAAAACCTGTAATTTTATGTGTGAGGGACGATCACCAGTTGTAATTCCAACCAAGTCAATGCTTTCTGGTCAGATTGTGTTAAAGTAAAGATCAGATTAGTGTAATTTGATGAACAGAGCTTCGAACAGAGTAGTGCTTTCAGTGAGCTTCACACCCCCAGGGAATGTTGATACCATCAGCTGCAAAATATCAATACTTCACTAGGCTATAAATCTCATTATAATAAAACTATAACTGTTCTTCTATTGTATCTACATTGTTGTTTTCTTGACATATTCACCTGCGTTTGCATGACAGTCCCCTGCTCTCTGAGTGTTTGGGTCTGCAGTTTCCACTCTGCAGCCTGAACCAGTAACTAAAGAAAAGACCACAGACACAGTCAACACAGAGAGGGAGGCAGATTACCTTCTTCTTCATGGTCAGCTCCTGCTCCTTCATAGCGAAGCATTTCTTTGTTTTGTCAATAGCCTCCCTAAGAAGCTAGTGACAGAGACACACAGTCAATCTGGGGCCAAACATTACACTGCTAAATGGACTTTGTATTGGAGTAGTAATAAAGGTGCTGTAGAAATCAGTACGGTTAAGATAATCAATTAAACATGCACAATAATTATTACTAACCTTTTTGAATTATGTGAATTTTTATTGTATTTTGTGCCATTTTTCAATTATGAATGAAATATACGGCTTTAATTTTATGACTGCACTTTTCTGATGAAATATACAACCTTTGTACTGAGGCCCCGTCCACACTAGAAAGTATTTGAATTGTTTTCGTTGTGAATGCAGTATTCATCCACACTAATCCAACTGAAAATGGCTCCAGAGACGGAACGATCTGGTGCCACCAGCTTCCACGAATTCATTTGAGTACAGATCTGCCGTTTTCCGGCACCGTGTGGACGCCTGAAAACGCTGATACACTGATGTAGGTCTATGCGAATATATGTCCATTCATGTAAAAAGTCTATGTGTATGATCGTACACGTAGACCGTATAATCTCATAATAACTAATAAGTTTAACATGAACCAACGCAATAGAAGAACAGAACAAACTCACCATTAACAGAACCCCCCTCTGTCACAGAAAGATCACATATAATCCACTGAGTCGTGTCCTTTAGTCCGACAAAAGCTGAACCGCATCAGCGCACAATAGCGAGCTGTTTTTTGAGCACTTAGTTTATGCAAATTAGCCATACGGTTTTAAGTTTCATTTCTGTAAAACATAAACAAATATGCTCAAAGCTGTGTAGAGAAGGAAGGCTTGCGGACACAGAAACGAGTCAGTCCACACTCTGGGCCGCCATGCTCGTGTTAAAATCCAGTGTTACGCTAAATAACAACTGAACCTCGTTGTCAGTCCACGAAAAGTTTTTACACTTGCCATTTTCCTCAGCTCAAATCAGCTGCTGCAACTTCACACTTCCTTGTTTTTACTGCTCACATGACGTCGGGACATCAGGACGTCATGGCGATGTAATACCAGCCTATCACGTGACTAGCGTTTCAGGTGGGTTTGCGTTACCGTGTGGACAGGGAACGCTTTAATTGTGGATATAAAACGACATGTTGAGACACAGATTGTTTCCGATACGCTGATACGGTGATACACGGATTTGTTTTAGTGTGAACAGGGCCTGAGACTATGGATGAACAAGTGATCTATATTTTAATCATTTTATTCAATATAATATATGGAGAATAAATTGGCTTTTTGGATTTGCTGATTTAAAAAAAAAAAATTAAATAAACTAAATATAGAAAAATGTAGTGACTTCTAGTTTAAGACAATACAAGCATGAAGTATAATTCATTTTACCAGTGTTTTGTTCAGATTATTTTTATACTATGGAGGCAAAAATTTTACTACAACGGACCCCCAAAGTCTCCTCAATAAATGAGAAACATAAGTAATACTGTCAAAAAAAACCCTCAATAATAAATTTGTATATATTGACATAAATCGAAACTGTAACTCTAAGGTAATAATATAATAAAATGACTCACATATTCCTTCTCTCTCTTGTGCTTGTCTTCGGCCTCCACCAGCAGAGCGTTGGCCTGTGCCAGTCGGGCCTCTGTGAGCTTCTGTTGCAGGTCGCGATGCTTGTTGATCTTCTCCAAACTCTGAACAAGACAAAACGATGAATAATCTTTATTTATTAAGACACTATTTATAATACAGCAACACTATGAACCCAAGACTGTCCTCTCCTCTCACCTCCTCTCTGAGTTCACACTGACTCATGAGGCTCTCCAGTTTCTCCGTCAGATTGTTGTTCTCTGTGCACAGTTTGTCATTCCGAGCGTTGTGTTGTTCTATCTGGGACTGGATTTCTGTCAGCATTTCCTGGAAATGGCTTGTCATCTCATTCCTCTTCTTCTCGTCCTCTCTGCAGCGCTCAATGGTCTCCTCCTGAAATCAAATGCATTATAGTATAGGTGAAAATCTGGTCTTACATCAGAGCCTACTCTACTCTAAGTTCATATCTCCAACTAGTTCCTTCAGTTTTCTTTTTTTCTTTTCTTTTTCCAGGTCTTCTGCCTGGCAGATCTAACTTCTAACAAGTATCACTGCATACAAGTCATCTCATTCTGGTCTCTCCTGACTTCATCTCCTAAGTGTTTCCTGTGAACTGTTCCTCTATGGACACCTAAAATCCTGAATCTATTTTTCTAGGCTTTAACTTTGCTGATTTAAGATCTGACACCTTTAAAAGTACACTACGGATCTATATTTTTTGGTAATGGGCTTGCCACATACTTGCAGGCTGTTGCTTTGTGGTAAATGTTCCACAGTATGACATTTATTTGATGATTTTATTGTCTTAAAATGTGTATTCTTTCTGTTGGGCAGGGTTTCCTCTCTGGATATCTAACCTGTAACTTGGCATGTTTATCTGCCTATCTCCATGGAGACAATCAGATTTAATGCCATACTGTGAAACACTCCAGACAAAGCAATGACATCTCCATGAGACTGACAGGCAGCTGACCCCCCCCACCAGCCTGCATCTCCCTCCTGTCCTCACCCTGAGCTCGGTGTACTCGCGCTGTAGCTCTCTGCACAGGGCCTCCAGTTTGCTGCGTGCCATCAGGTTGTTCCTCTGCTCCTTCTGCAGCTGCTGCCTCTCGTCCAACAAACGACTGAACCTGTGTTGGAGCTGACACATCTTCTGCTCATCGCTGCGGCGGAGGGAGGCCTGCACACATACATTTACAGGTCACAATCACAAGTGAGTTTAAAGATTTGTGGAGAAGGCCAGGTGAAATACCAGAATCACTCATACCATTTCAGCATATTTCTTGACCAGCTCTTGCAGCTTCTCCTCGGGGGTCGACAGCTGGCTCAGACTCTGCTGGATTAGTGACATCTCTGTGTAGACATGGGCAACGACAACAACTGATACTAAGTTATGTCTCTTTTACACAGTAGAACAGAACCAGTAGTGCTATTCATTACACTACACCTCGCCCCTTGCAGTATCTTTCTCCCACAATCCAACACTTGTAATTCTTGGTCTCTCCCCCTGGACACTAACACCCTAAGCAAAAAAAAATGTTAATGAACTTATTGGGACAGATACAGATGGAAGCCTAACCTAACCAGAAAAGTTCATTTTAGGACAGCATTAAGACCTGATCCAGTGAGCCAGTCCAGTTTATCTTTAAATACACCTGTTGTACACAAATCTCACTCACAGCTATGACATCAGTAATCTCTGTCTGATATAGGATTTGATGGATTTGATATCAGACAATGGACACATTCATTACGTGTTTGTCAGAATACGTTTTGGTCGTCGCATCTAATTCTGTTTTATACATAACTGTTGGTGTGAATTAAAACTTGATGTCACCAGTTGTGATGGTCTAAAGCTGCTTTAACTGTGGTTATTATCTCAATGGGAAAAAACGTCTCAGCTGTTAGGGTCTGTTCAGCTAGATCTGTCCTGAAGCAGCAGCCAACAAAAGGGCAGTTCTTCTTTTTGAGCATCACCTGTTTCCAATGTGACACTGTGGTCCTCTTCCTCCTTCTTTTTGTCCATGTCTGATTCAACCCAAGTCTGAGAAAACAAACAGTACATGGCATTGCTTGACAGTAATTTTAGGTTAGTAGCAAGTTCAAGACAATCTTAAACTAAGGAAAATACTTATTTAGGGAAGCAATCCCAGTTACTTTGGCCAACTGTAGCTCACATTGTCATCTCTCGAAATCGAATGCACTCTCATTAAACATGTAACTTTTCTGAAGGGGGTTGCCTCCCCAAAAAACATAGAAATCAGAAATGAAAATTCCAAGCAAAGCAATGGCATCTTCATGGAGACAAGCAGGGGCTGACCCTCCACCAGAAAGTTATACTGTGAAACTTCAAATATCATTTAGCAATAGGTTTGTTTTGAAAGGGTACAGTTTGTAATTATACTAAAATAGTATGAGAAACGCCCATTATGTTCTATAGACCAAATCGGTTCTGTCAGAGTCAGACCTGTTGCTCGAGGACACTGGGACCTTTGCTGTAGCTGCTCACGATCTCGTCCAGTCTTCTCCTGAACTCGTCCATGGGGCTGTAGGGGGCACAGGCTGCAGTCTCCTCTTCCTCCACCAGGGAGCGCTCTGTCATGTCCGGAGGAAGCACAACCTCAGCTGCCTTCACTGAAGTCTCCATAATCTGGACTAGAACAAGAGCACAAAATCATGTAGAGTCAAGTATAGGTCGATTTAGGACACAGTGATGTAGTTGATTTGAAAAATCTACAACATTATTGTGTGAATCTTATGTGTTTAAGTGGCTTTTATTTGCAATAGCAATTTTCAGCTATAAAAAATTTCCACGCTTTAGTCACATTAGATGTGCCTGTTCTGCTGTTGTAGAGGAAGGAAGTGATTATCTCATCTCTGGTGATACTGATTAAACTGTGGTGATACTGATTAAACCTCACGCTACAGCTAACCGTTGTAATATAAAGATCTTAAATAATTGTCAGTAACAGCACAGAGTCACACACTTGTGGTTTCACCTCTTTTTAGGGGTCACTGCAGTGAATACAGTTTTATGGACTCCTCTAATGGACAGCGTTCTTTTATTTACACAGGTCTATTTCACACACATTGTAGTTTATTACTGACGTTATTCTGAGGGATAATGTGGTGCAAGGATCACCATTCATTGTAAAGACTGATGCCAAATGTTAGTCCCTGCTAAATGGAAACATTCTTGTCTGTTTGCCAGTTTAATTCTGTTTTGAGTGAGCATCTGATGTGAGAGTTATAGTCATGATGTCACTTATTCTCATGGGTTAAATGGGTACAAGGTTAAAGAAATGATGCTGAAACATTTTCTGTTTCTGGTCACTGTGGTTCTGCTCTTCCCTGAGTACAATAACTAAACATACTGTATAGCCACAACAGAAATTATGAAGTATATGTCTTTATTTGTTTCCAGTGTTTGAGGGACTTGGGTCATTAGGTCACTGACTTGACTTGGGTCATTGACTCTCTATGCTTGTTTGTGTCATGGATCTGAAATGCCTTCTCCGGTGGTCATGTTGTGTCTTGTTGACCCTGGCTCTATAGCTTTCAGAGCTGGCATGCCGTTCTCTTGTATCAGTTATAATTACCCTAAGAAGAGCAGCCTGCAGCCTCACCACAGCTGCCACAGGACTATTCTGGGAGCCCCATATAAGGCCAGGCTGGAACTCAGCGCCCCCACCCCCCATGTCAGTACTGTACCTGATAGTGTCAAAATACGTGATAAGGAGCCCCCATAAAGACTGAGCTCCACCCATTAACCCCTGACCTCACACAAGATCAACATAAACAAGAGGAAATCAAAGTCAGAATATTTTAGTATACAGTAATATAGTGTTTATAAACAGTGTTTAGGATTACAATAATCCCAAACAACATATTGTGACGTTCATGACATGTTGGCATATTGACAAGCTCGTTTATCTTGTTTCTTTGTTTATCTTATAATTGTTTATGGAACAAACCATTCTGCACTGGAGCACTCTAACACTTTATTTTGTAATTGTGTTTTTATACATGTTTTGTGGATGAATGAAATGTGAAATGTGGGGCCTGCCTCTCAAATCTGCAAAGCAAATTTATCTACGGGTACGAATAAAGCAACCTAACCTAACCTCCTAACCTTATCTATCAATTAACTGCAAATGATCAACACACAAGAACAGACCTGGGCATTGTACAGCTCCCGGGCCACATACTGCCCTTTGATTGACTCGCTGGCTCATGCATGGACTAAAGAACTTACTTTTTCAAAACAATGCTATTTACTGCTTTTTTTTTTTTTTTTTATATATACAATTAATATTATGTGGAAGTGAGTTAAGCATTTTGGCGTGGCCCTCCATGGTATTTTCAGTTTCTCATGAGGCCCCATGGAAAAAAATATTGCATCATTTTAACCATGTCTTTCAGTGTTTGTCAATGTCAAATCATAGCAATTTTTTTCCAGCTTGTCTGAAAACCTGTAAATACAATATACAATAGATCAGCATTGGAAACACTGCTCTGCATCAAATGTTGAATAAATATATTGTGACATCAACCACAAATAAAGAACACTGCATCTAAAAACAACATTAAAACCAGCTTCGGAACTTATATCAATAGGTTTGAACTTGCTACACTTTTTTATTTTGAGGCCATCCTGGGACATGCAGTCATAAATCAAATAAAGTCAATTTAAAAACTGTAATAAGCTCCTAAACCTGACAGACATGTTGTTATGTGACATGGCAGAATATTAATAGAAAGACCATTGAGCAACAGCGGCCATTTTAAAAGCTCACCAGCTGCCTTAGATACACATCGGTCAAATTCAACAGCAAAAGTCAATACACAGAATACAGCAGGTAAAATCATTTATGACAAATAGCTTAATTAAAGAAATGTTAAGAAAACAAAAATAATGCATTTAAATATTTCTGAGGAAATTTGGTTGAAAATTGCCAAATGAAAGAAATAGCACTAATGGTGTAAAGTTAGAATTGTGATTATAAAAGTTTTTTTGTGTGTGTTTTAGTTTGAGGCTTGTAAAAGGGTCTTACCTTTTCAGAGGAGAGCAGAGGACTGACAGAGGGACAGGGACAAAATGGGGGAGGGTCCTGAGGACAGCTGAGCCCCAAAATAACTCTGAGCTGAAGGGACACAGGGAAAATCACAACACACGCTGGGACGAAACAAATAAATAAAATAAACAAATCAAAATAATAAAAGAAAAAGTGCCATCAACTGTTCTTGATTTAAGCAGTAGGCCTATAGCTATAAATTATCTTAACGGTAATTGTAATATATATTCAAGGTCACAGATAAGAAAATTATTATTTCTTCATCCTTAATTAAAAAAAAAAAAAAGTAGTTAGAAGATAAGAAATTCAGTTCAAAATTCCTTAAGATAATTGTAGGAAATGTCTCTTTATTTAAAGGGAAAATACAAATATCCACACAGCTAAACAGGAAATGTAAATTAAGAAATTATAAACAAAATGAAAACACAAAAATGTTGTAAAAAATGTATATGGCTCAATTCATAGAATGGACATAACAAATGCGCTAGCCGCTGTTTTGCAAATAGGAAGTTCACATGCAGCTCTTCCGGCTCCTACTGATCCTGGCTCCCACTGACTTACATTAGAATATTGATGCTCCTCTCTCTGTAACTGCTGCTGTGAGCCTCGTCATTTTGGTGTTAAAATGTTCGTATTAACCTGTTCTACATGATCCTGGTGTTTTTATTTATTTGTATTTTTTGCTAATGTCCGTCAAAGAAATCCTATTCATAATATAGAGCCTGGCTCCTGTGGGTGTCGTCACATTCGCTTAGTCCACTTTTTTATAGAGTTTGTGGTTCAGTCACATATTCCAAAAAGTTCCATTTGAGATTTACAATTAATTCACTGCAATCAAAATTTCTACCTCAATATTAGATTCAGGCATGATTTATTTACACCAACCCCGTCATGTCTCCAGGCTTAGACTCGTGCGTCTCCCGTAACAATTACAATGTGTTCTAAGTGCATGAGATGTGGCAAAAATACGCAGGGAGTATATTTTTGGTGGATACCACAGCTGAATGATTTTGTTCCAACTGTTTAAAGTCACACAGAAGATAAACATGGGAAAGCAGTCAGTGTTCAATGGCACTTCATTCATTCATTTTTGTAGACCAAAAATGCAGACGGATGTAAACATCAGTCAACTTGACCAGCCAAAACTTTATTTGTGGGAGGATTTCACTCTTGTTTGCGTCTCTCCTGAACACATTCAAGATTTGTCCCATAAATGAAAGCCATGGGATTTTTACAAAAGCCAGAACACATCGCCTACCAGCACACGGCTTTACTTTCTACTTTGACTTCATGGAGTGGAGCACTTGTTGAATGCCAAAGGCATTCATGTCGGCTTGTGGAATTACAAAGAATAACCGCAAATATAAAAGAAGAGGAGGAGAGGCCAGAGAAGTAGAGGATGAGCTGAGGAGGAGAGGGAGAGCACTGGAGGAGAGGAGAGCTCACACCCAGCTGAGGTGAGTCTTCTAAAGTACAGGTAAGCTACATGCACACAAGATAGCACCGTGGGGAAACATGACTGTGTCACCCCACAGTGTTATCAGACATGTAGTTAAACATGCTGTTTTATACAAGTGCAATACCCTGAATGTGTTTTTAAAAAATAAAATAAAATTATAATAACCAGATGGATCACTGATGCACATTCTCAGTGTACTCAGTTGGAATGTGTGAAATTGTCATACAGCAGGTGCACATCTCACATAACAGAGTTGGTGTAAATGAGGTAGAGATATAGACTTAGACAAACTTCACTGATTCATAATCGAAATTATTAGCTCAGACATTACAATATGTTAGAATAACAAAAAGCAACAATATAAATGGTAATAATACAATCAAAATAAGTAGCAAAAAAGGCAAGAGGCATAATTTTATAAATGTATACCTATAAGTAAAAATTTAATCTAGAAATATTGTAATACAAAATCTCTGCTTTATACAAGAAGAAGGCAAGGACAAACAAGTACAAATATGAAATAGTGACTGGCATGACATAAGGTTATCTATTACATCTGATCTCTACTATTCACTTTCAGGTTCCTGTTACAACATTTTTCAACATTTTGAGGGCTTTTTCCTGCTCAAAAAAGAGTTTTAAGAGTTTTAAATGGTTAATTGCCACGGCAACATCCTAATTTTTCATAATTCTGAAAACCATGGATATAGACAGAACCAATAGCCTTCCATTACCATGTCAATGCCCAGTTTCTACGCTCCAAAGTGTCTAAATCTATTTAGCACATCTTTATTTACAGTTGGTTGAAATAAGAACATTTATTTTGAAGTTAAATGGTATTTTGTTGGATTTATTTGTTTGATTTATGTTTTATGTAAAAGAGTTATAGCTGGTTGTACTCCGGTTCCATGGTGCCCATCTCAAGGCTCTGGTAGGTGTTGTCTTCATACACAGAAGTGTTGCTGCATATCACGTTCTGACAAAAGATTTGTGTTATAGATGTATGTTAGTCTCGATAAACTTCATAGTGAAAACATAACCCCAGTCACACCTGCACCCTGATCAGAAAATTTACTTAGCAGAGCAGGTCATGTATGAACACAATCCAAGCTGATTTGACTGGAGTTTTGACCTGGCAATTATCCAGTCAAATTACGTGGAATATTCAAGGAAGGGTTATGTGTGAATAAGGCCAGAACATTGCCAGTATCACTGTTTTGCGTTTTGTGGTTATGCTGATGCAGCAGTATTTTGATCTCTGAGAGAGCCCAGCAAGCCAAATGCCAGTTTATGTGTGGACAGAGCAGACCCAGCAATGTTCTGGGACATTTGAGTGCATCTGTGAATGGGGGTCATTCCTGAGGAATCTGATATTTTGTACCCAGCAATTTTCTAAGAACTATGTGAGAGTGGAGCTTTATACTGTTGTGTACTCACCTCAGGGTTGGTTGGTCGGGAGTTTGTTGTTTCTGTGGTTAAAAAGAGCACATGCAATTTAGACTTAGTGTGACAGTAAGTAAATAGGAGGATGTAGATTATCAAACCATTCATTGAAGCTTTCTTCCTTTTGTAGACAATCAGTACGATAACTCCAATAATGAAGACCATATTAACAGGGACCAGCCACTGCAACTGGAGAAGAAGAATTGCTTCATAAGTCTGGCCTCGCTCTTTGAGAATGGCATTACCGGAACACTCCATGTAGACTGCGGTTTTATAGAGGGAGCCAGCTGCATAGACACACTGTCTAAGGTCACTTGTTTTTCTTGTACATGTATTTGACAAAATCCAAACAGGTTCATAATGAAAGAAACTGGTAAAGTGAAATGACACAACAGAGCCACAGTCCAGGAGAGGACACACAGCCTCTGCGACCCTCGGGAGTCCTTCTAGATCCACCATCACAGGTCTCCACTGTCCTCTCTGTCTCATCTGCAGTGTCCCAGCACAGCCATCAGAGTCCCCCTCCAGCCTCATCAGCTCTGTGCACATACAACACAAAGTTATTCACCCTATTCTGCCCCGCCTACTTTTGCCTCTAAACACCACTAAACGACATGTTCATTGTGGTGAATCATTCAAAGGGCCCAGATTACACTATTTTATGATCTATGTTATAATGTTGTTTCATTAAAAAAAACTAAAAAAAACAAAAAACATGGTGGGTCATATAAAAAGAAACAGTATGTCTGAAAGCAAACTGGCACCGTATCAAGGAGGATATTGTGGACAGGATGTGGTTCGAGCTGATGCCTAAGATGGAAACTATTAAGTTAACCCAGCAAACACATCAGAATAAAAGTGGTTTCTCACAAGGCAACCTCCAGTATAAGGTGAATAGAAGAAAGAGTTTTTACCTGAACAGCTCAAGACCACAGCTTTTCTAGATGGGCATTTGCTGTCAGCTGAACTGGACCTGGGACAGTCCGTCAGAACAGATTCATGGCCCTCACACTGGAACGTCTGCCTCATCCTCATATTTTTGGAGTGATAGGATGCCCCCTGGAGGACATTAGGAGCTCCACAGCCCAACTGCCTGCAGGCCACCTCTGCATCCTTCAGGCCAAAGTCCTCCCGACAGACCAAATTCCAGGTCTCGTTCAGGAAGACTGCCAGTGATCCGGAGCACTTCCTGGGTCCAGAAACCAGCTGAGTGGACTCTGGACACAGCACACTTTATCACATTCAGTGGTTAAAATAAGCAGCAATGAAGTCAGATCATGTGTTACCTGAACAATTGATTCCATAGTAATATTGGGTGGACACATTGACTTTCTGCACACAGTGAGTTTTTGTATATTTGACACAGTCTAGGTTAATCTGCACTGCTGCATGAGTATTACTGGTCCTTCTCTCATGAGACACCACAGAGGCACAGTTCAAATACTGACAAAGTGCATCTGCTGTTTTCATAGTGAACTCAGAGAAGGCCACATCTTCCCACTGGTTCAAATGTTTGATCTGTAGATCTCCATCACAAGGGCCGGCCCCACGCACCAGCCTCATGTTCTGAGAGTCTGTAAAACACACCGAGCTGATGTGAGGAGAACAGACCAGCAGAACTGTCAAATATTGTATCTGACATGATGAGTGACAAGTTTATGACAAAATGATTTTACTGGGGATAAGGAACTCAAGAGAATTATAACTCTAAAATTGCAACTCTAGAGTGTAGTTTATGTAGTAATTGGTATCAGCTCATTGAATTTATCTGTTGAGTTTGATTACGGTGCATTCAAAGAAAGTTTGCCTGAGAAAGCCTGACTCATTTACCATTTTAAGTCCAGACACTGTTGTTTATCCATTCTGTCCATATATATATTTTTTATTATTATTATTTCATTTAATCAACTTACATCAGCAGGTTTAAATGGACTTCTGTAGCTTCTTCTCAGATTTATTTATTATTTCTTCCACATAAGGATGAACTATAACACCTACATACACCAAACTTTCACAATTTTGACAGATTTTGACAGATTTTGACATATTATTATTATTTTTGTTTTCCAAAAATTTGATTTTTTTTTCTAGTTTACTCTAATACTAAAACATATCCAAAAATCTCCTCTGTATTTTCTATTATGTCAACAAAATGAAGAAATCTAAACATGGCTCTATCTGTTTTTAATAATGTATGTCCCATATGGTCAGTTTTGGCCTTTTTATGGTATTTTTTTTTAAATATAAAAACATGATATGATGAAAAACATTTGCATTGTAAGTGATTTACAGATAAGTGGTTTACATATACCAAAATCTGTAAGAAAAATATCCAAAAAATGTGTCAAAATAAACTAGACATTCTGTTCATAAATATAATATACTATCATTATTTGTATTTTATGTGTAAGTAAAACAACTGCATTAGATTAAATGTTTAGAACAAAACATTATAAGTAAATTTTAATAGTATTATATTCTTCTTGTATTATTAATTATAGTTTATGAGTGAAACTTACCTACTAAACGCAGACTCGGGAGCAGAGCCAGAAGCAGAATCAACACAACCATCATCATTGGTTTGTAAAATTAAACTTTTTCACATGTTTTTAAGTCTCATCCTCCAAAGTTCATTTCCATTTCATCACTTCCTCTTGTGAGATAACATAATGTTTTGTGAGATAACATAAAAGATAAAGTAACATGGCTTGTAGCACAGCACTTTTGATTAGGTGTATTTTGTACAAAATGAATAATAAGACATTGTTAAAATCACTGGTTCAAGTAAAGTGCTTTTTCCTTGGTTCATTCATTTCCTGCTTTAGTTTAGTCTGAATTTGTTCATTTTTAGAACCTGATCTGAGCTTATTGATCATTTTAGTTGCACCATAAGATGATTTGAAAAAGATTGACAGTTACTGGTCTGTTTCCTACACGGTCCAGTTGGTGGCAGTAGAGAAACACCTAACCTCTCCTCATTCCTCCTTGAAAATACAACTGTGTGCTCGAATCCTGGCTCCTGATTGGATGGTGTGTGGCTCCTTTCATTTCCAGCAGCGGATAGCAAATCTGACTCACTCTCCATACTATACAGTACTTTTGTTCACTATTATTTATGAATGGGACTTGGTAGAATGCTTTTTTGTAAATGTAAAAATGATGGTTTACATTAAAAAGTGCTTTGGTATTATTACATTTTTGTTGAACCATGAGCAAAAATAGTTTGATCTGTGACCGTGATTGTCAAGTCGTGGTAGAGACACATTCATTCATTCAACAATTATTTCTTAAAGCCCCACTGTGTAACATTTCAAGGTCTTTATTTTATCTGCTGAAATGTTCTGCTGTGTGCTTTACTGACCACAGTAAAAGACTTATTTCGTCTCTGAGGTCTTTGTGTTTAAAACCTTTCCAAGTCTAATCATATTTTTCCTTTTGATCCAGATGAGGAAAACTTTAGTTGGACACATCGTCTATGGTTTTTTTTCACAGAGACAGGATGTTCCAAATCTTCACAATACACTCCCAAATAACAAGGGACATTTAGACATTTGGACAAGCTTTTACTATATTAAAAAAAATACCTCAACTAAAGCCACTCTGCAGGACTTTCAATTGTTTTGTACAATTATTTGGATTTCAATAAGAATGCAAGTCTTTGTGGTCATTTTGATAAATGAAGACACAATAAAATTAATAAACACATTTATATTTTTATATTTTATTTATATTTGTTTAATGCCATACCGTGGAACATCCCAGAGAAAGCAATGACATCACCATGGAGACAAGCAGATGGCGGACCCTCCACTAGTCCTTTTACACATTGCACCTTTAAGCAGAACTCTAACTTGAAAACTTCCAGCTCTTATTTTTTTCCAGATTCAACGATGTGCATCAGTGGGAAAAACATGTATTTTTAGTATGAGCCAGGTCACCTCGCCACAGATCTGACCCTCCATCAGCACAAAAGAAGTTGCCATGGGTACCACCTTTCTCATTCAGATTGTATTACATGGTGCTGCTGATCTTTACAGCAGTTCAAACTCTTCTCACATTCTCCAGTTAGTTCCAGAATAAGGTGAATAAGACGTCACATTTTGTCTCATTCAAACACATAACAAAGAACTTTTAGGTGTAAATTTGCAGTGGAGGGTCTGCCACCTGCTTTTCTCCACAGAGATTTTATTCAGGGTAGCAGAGGGTTCTTAAAAGTCTTAAAAAGGTCTTAAATTTCATGCTCTTTAATTAAGGCCTTAAAAAGTCTTAAATTATGTTGTCCAAATCTTATTTTTTTCACAAAGGTCTTAAATTTCATTACCCTATTTTTCTGTATACTTTACCGGGCTGCAGTGCAATGTTAAGGGAGGTCATTATTAGAATTGGATCTGGTGTTTTTCGCCTGAATAATGGGTGCAATGTTGGTCTTAATTTTCATTTAAGTGGTCTTAAAAAGGTCTTAAAAAAAGTCTTAAATTTGGGTTAGTCAAACCTAGCCAGGCTGGTGCCACCTAGTGCCTCCGCTCAATTTCATTTCTCCAGCGACTAGGTCAGGAATCGGAATACACTGGTTCACAATAACACCAGAAGTGCAAGTTCGGGCACCAGCCAATCAGTGAAGAGCCATACATTTTGTGTTGTCAACGATTCCTGAGATCAAGGAATTAAAGCCGGAAAAAAGAGAATGTTTGGTGATTTTTATCAAGGGGAAAGACGTTATTGCCCTTCTTCCTATGGGATTTGGGAAAAGATTAATATACCAGTTAGCCCCGTTAGCAGAGCATTACATACGTCACAACCAAACAGCAGTGATTGGTTAAATGATAAAAAGTATCCGCCTACCCTCAAGGGAATGAATTCTAACACTGCGAGGTCAGACAGTTTCTACGAAGTGAAACAAAGTGAAACCGGCTGATGAATTAGGCTAAGTCAAACCTGGGGATACCCTGTTATTGCTTTGTTTGGAATGTTTCACAGTATGGTATTAAACCTTTCTATTTTCAAGGAAACCACTCCAGATCAAGTTGCTGGTCAGATCTGTGGAGAGGCGACCCCGCTCACATTCAGAATGCTTGTTTTCTAGGTAATTTTGAGTTATAAAACCACCTGCAATCCAGGCTCAAAACAGTTCTGTTTAGCTGTACATATGACTGAAAGGTTTTCATTCTGCACTCTTCTCTCTTATTTAATCTCTCTCTCTCTTTTTAATTTTATGATGATTATTTATACCTTGATTTGTTTGCATTATGA